ATCTACATATCTTATACATATCTGTAAATTTCTTATACATGTCTGTAACTTGTAGAGAGAGGGATTATTTCCTACCATATTAACATCTGGAAATATCTTCCTAGTTCAGAGATGTTTATATTAATGTTGATAATACTTAACTCTTCTCTAAATTTGCATTAAATTAAGCTATTGGTTGCAGTTAAAGAGATGTGTATTAAATTGGGAAAGTTAATATTATAAAAAGATGTTTCTAAAACTAGATCTGAATTGTTAGTTTAAAAGACAGAATCACAGCCCTCCCCAGTGGCACAGCGGGTTGAGCGCAGTGCTGTGAAGCTGTCCGCAGCCTCTGCATTGTGGGTTCGATTCCTGGCCAGCCAGGGAGATACCCACATGGCTCAGCAGACCCAGCAGACCTCTCCTGTAGTGCCCCACTGCTCCCCTCAGCAGTGTATTTTGATTGTCTGCCTGTTCTGTATCCCACTCTCTGTCTGGTGAATCCTCTCACCCTACTGTACCTCTGTCCTGTACCCCAGCTCTTGTATAAAAATGAATAAATAGGGGCCTCCCCTGGTGGTGCAGCAGTAGAGCACTGGGTTGTGAAGCTGCCCATAGCCTCTGCAGTGCTGGTTCGATCCCTGGCCACCGGGCGAGGGTCCCACATGGTGCACAGACCTCTCCTGCCGCCTGCTGCTCCCCTCAGCAGTGTACTTCATCAATCTTCCTGTTCTGCTCCACGCTCTGTCTCTGGTTAATTCTGTCACCCTCCCACACTTCTGACTGTACCCAGTGCTTGTACAAACAAACAAACAAACAAATAAATAAATAAATCTAAAAAAATAAATAAATAAAAATGAATAAATCTTTACCAAAAAAAAAAAAAGACGGAATCACAATTGACAAAGGCCATATAAATTTGAAAAAAGGATTAGTTGCTGGTTAATTACCTCCTAATTTTTTCATGGAAATTTAATATGTTCTTTTTTTTTTTTCCTCTTCTAAAAACATACTACTTCTGCCAAGTTTGTTCTCCTCACTGCCTATGGGGAGGCAACAAGATGTAGCAATTATAAGAAAACATCTTGAAGTACAGTAAATTTAACTTTGAGTTCTGACTTCATAGGACAATGACTGAATGATAGTTAAAAATTACTCAACCTAACTCATTTTACTTTTTTCCATGGGTACAATAAAGAAAAATTGCATCTACATCATGGGTAGATATTTTACTCATGCATTTTTTTGTTTATTTAGTGAAATAAATACCTAGGCTAAGATGTGTAAAAATGGTTTTCATGGTTCTCTGAAAAAAGATAAAAATAGATGGCAGTTATTAATATTACGTATTATTCATAATGATGCTCCATAGGCATAGCAACAATGTGAATGTTCAGATACCTAGCTCATTATTCCTTCCCTCACACAGGAAATTGAGTAATACAAAAATATTCATAATATTGTTAACTTTGTTTTTAATTTATTTACTGCTTTTTAAAAGTGATTTCTATATTTTGAATAGTTTCTTTGATTTTTAAAGTCATGTCGCAAATATGTACTTCTATATGTACATCACTATCAAACTGCTGCAACTACCCTGATAGCCCTGATGGTGGACTAGGGAAACAATGTTAAGAAAACAGTTACACAATTAAGAAAACTAAATAAAATAATGCAAGTTTTTATTTTTGCATCTGAATGTAAGATTTACAATTAAGTTAATCAAAAAGAATGAATAGCACTGAAGATATTAGCTTCGAAAAGAACAGTTTTCATATTCTCTCAGTACTGGTGATGTCCCTCACTTCCACTTTTGAATTTATTTTTATTTTTTCACTATGCTAAAGCTAAATACACACCATATAGAAAGTACCATCTTAATTGTACAATTCAGTTATAGTTAGTGCATTCACTTTTTCTGAAAACATTACTATCACTTGTGCTTAGAAAATTTTTGTATTTTCAAACTGAAACTCTGGGTTCAATGAATAATAACTCTTCAATCACCTTTGCTCATATTGTCTGGCAAAGCTATTCTATTTTCCATCTATGAATTTGACTACTCTAGTAACTACATAAAAGTGCAATCATATAATACTGTCCCTCATGTGGTTGATTTATTTCATTTAGCATATGTCTTCAAAGTTTATCCATGGCAAAATATATGTCAAAACTTCCTTAATTTTTAGAGTCTGAATAAGATTTCATTGAATGTACATATATTTTGTTCATATATTCATCTGCTAAGGGACATATGAGCTTCTTTTACCTTTCAACTGTTGCAAATAATGCTGCTATGAAAAATAATGTACTGATCAAGTGGCCGTGCCCCTATAAACCTCAATTCTTTGGGGTTTATACTAAGAATGATATATTTAACTGATAGCAATTCTTATGTTAAAGACAAAAGGCAAAAATGCTATTTAAAAAAAAATCCCACTAGATCTTGGTGTATGATGCCATTTAATTTTCTTCTCTCATGCAATAAACTGACAGTTTGCTTAAGAGCAATAAAAATAAGCATGGTGGAATCAATTATAATAGAGATATGAACATTATACCAAAGTAAATGTCTTTCTCAAATGATTATTTTGTTTCATGGTCTTTTAATATCATCCAAGAATTATTTTAAAATGACTTGAACATTCAAATTATTGATCTAGAAGCCAAATATCTATATGTCAGTAAAACTTATTTAATTACATTTTTGGGGGAGACTAATTTATTAGAATATTAATTCTATAAGGGCTTGGGGACAATATATTTTCAATATACACTGGAAACAGTATATATATATATATTTAAAAAGTTAAATAGTCTCTAAGCATATTAGATATTCCAGGGAGGCAAGGATGGTTCAACATACACAATCAATCAACATGAAATTTCATACCAATGAAAGGATAGAAATCACATGATTATCTTAATAGATGGAGAAAAAGCATTTGACAAGATTCCATGACAATTTATGGTTAAAAAAAACCTTAACAAAATAGGTCCTCCCCTGGTGGTGCAGCAGTTGAGCGCTGGGCTGCAAAGCTTCCCACAGCCTCTTCAATGCCAGTTCGATCCCCGGCCGCTGGCAAGGGTCCCACATGGCACGACAGACCTCTCCTGCCACCCGCTGCTCCCCTCAACAGTGTATTTCATCAGTCTGCCTGTTCTGTTCCCCGCTGTGGCTCTGGTGAATTCTCTCACACTCCCATGCTTCTGATTGTACCCAGTGCTTATAAATAAGTAAATAAATAAATATATAATATATAAATATATTTATATATTATATAAATATAATAAATAAATACATAATATCTAAATATAATAAATAAATAAATAAATCTTTAAAGAAAAAACCTTAACAAAATAGGTGTAGAAGGAAAGTGCTATAACATAAAAAGTCATATGAAAACCCATACCTGAGATTATACTCAATGGTGAAAAACTGAAATCTTTTCTTCTAACATCAGGAACAAGGAAAGGATGTTAATTCTTACCACCACTACTCAATATAGTATTGAAACTCTAGCAAAAACAATTAGATAAGCGAAAGATATAAAAGTTATCCAAGTTGTAAATGGAAAAGACTATTATGATTTGCAGATGACTTGATTTTAAATGTTGAAAATCTCAGAGACTTCAGCATAAAGTAATTAGCAATAATGCATACAGTAAATTGGAAGGCTAAAATATTGTCTAAAGAAATAGAGATTGAATGCAATCTTCATCAAAATCTCAACAGAATTTTGCACAAAATAGAAGAAATTCATTTAGAATTATTAAAGACCCTATTCACTAAAAATAAGTCTGAGCAGAAAAAAATAGTTATTATGTACCCTGGCCGGCTTAAAACTAAACTACAAATCCCTAGTACTCCAAACAGCATGACATTGGAACAAAAACAGTCAGAATAGAATTGAGAGCCCAGAAACAAAACACACATATATGAACTGGTAATTTATGACAAAGGAGCCAAGAGCATACAAAGGTGCAGTGAAAAATCGTGCTGTGAAACCTGGACAGCTACATATAAAAGAAAGAAACTACACCACTATTTCACACCATGTACAAAAAATAATTCAAAAATGGATTAAAGAGTTGGATGTAAGACTTGCAATGATGAATACACAAAAGTAAACATTGGCAATACATTCCTTGACATCAGCTTTAGAGGTCAGTTTAGGAATTCAAGATCAATAGCAAAGGGAAACAAAAGCAAAAATAAACAAACAAGACAAATTAAAAAGGATCTGCATAGTGTTAAAAGCTTGCATCAAAACAAAACATCACCCAACTCAATGGGAGATTTGTTTCATCATATGTCAACACAGGATTAATATGCAAATAAACAAAGAACTCATAAAACTCATAAACAAAACAAAAATTTGATCAAAAAGTTGGCAGAAGATCTAAATAGGAACTTCTGCAAAAATGATTTACAAATGTCTAATAGGGACATGAAAAGATGTTCATTATCTCTTTTTATTATGGAAATGCACATTAAAACATTGATATATCCTTTCATTCCTGTAAGGATGGCTATTATTCAAAATAAAAGAAACAAACTAGTACTGGAGAGGATGAGGTGCAAAGAAAACCCTATATAGTATTTTTGGGCATATAAATTGGTGTAGTCATTATGGAAAACAATATAACGATTCTGCCAAATAATTAAAAATGGAAATATTATATCTAATTATCACACTTATGCATACTCATTTCAAAAATGCAAAAAGCATTAATTCAATGATATATATATATATATATATACACTTTGTTCATTGTATATTATAATACTAGTTTACTTCACTAAAAATTTTAATTTAAGCACAACATGTTACATAAAATTCCCTTCATAATTCTTCTCTATTTAGATTGGATATTAAACTCAAATATCTCTAAGTTTCAGGCTTTTGTTTAAACAACATGAATTAGTACTCATTTAAAGCTGACTACATGCTTATAGTCTACCTGAAAAATCGGAGCTATCTGCTTTTACTCAAGCTCTTAATTAATATTCCTCATACCTTAACTCTGAGCACAGAAGCAAACATTCTTGCATCTTCAGATACACCTCCAATGTAGAATTTTTTTTGAAACACTGGGGGATGATCATTTTGGTCCTGAATTTCAATGTACACTTTGGCTGTATTGCCTGGAAAATAAGAAATATATATTTTTATTGGTGATTACTTATTAGAAAACATGAAGTGGATTAAGTACTTACTTTACTTCTTTTTTTTTTTTAATGTGGAAGCTTAAATCCTCAATGGCATTCCTCAGTGGAATGCCTGCTATTCCCAAATCCACAGAGAAAACTTCTGGCCTAACAATGATAAGTTACTATTTCTTTTAATTATAATGTCCTAATAATTCATTTTATTTGATTTAATATGCACTAAAGTATTACATCCTAATTTTAATGAAACAATCAACAGATCATATTCACAAACACTTCACACACATTATCACATATATATCACAGTGACAAAATATGCACACTCCTGGTGAAATCACAAAATTGTGATACACTAAAAAGCTCTACTTCTTACTCTTAAAACTAGCAATTATACTCTTAGTTCAAAATGCACTATGCTATTCTTGTTCTAAAATAAAAAGTAAGAAATAATTGGGTGAGAATCTTCTTTCTACAAAGGGCAAGCAAAGCATTGGAGGCTCTCTATAATTATTTGCAAAATATATGGCTGGAGAGACTATTGCCTTAAAACTCATGAATGCTTGATTTTGTGATTTAAACCACACTAAATATAAGGTAAGTGTTAGAATCTCACCCCTTTGATTATCACACTTTTAATGAGAACTGTTAGCACTTCTCACTCAATAGTCCACAAGTTTTTTTTTTTTTTTACAAAGAATTCTATGTGGAAAATTATCTTATAATCAGATAAAATGAGGAATAAGTGGTCAATAATTTTACAAAAAGTATATTCAAATTATGCTACGTATTCTTATTTATTACCTAAGTGAATTTTATCATACATTTCAGTTCAGATTGAAAATATAGCAATTGATCTACAAAATAACCATGTCACTCCAATTTCATTGTTTTATTATAAAGTATAATAGGTTTAACACAAACCTACTAGTACAGAATCTACATCCACAAATGTTGAAATAGCTGTGTTGGCTGAATAAATTAATTACATACATTGTGTTAGAACTTAGAAAACAAGTTGCTTTTTGCTTATCTCAGGAAAGATCAGAGAGAAAAAAGAGTGAATCCTGAGGCTTTCACCCTATCTACCACAGGTCATTTAGTTTCTATCATACCTGCCAGTTTTTCACCATTGCTGAACTGGAAGGGATAGAATCAAGAAGCAAAAGTGTGCAAGGCAAAAGAGAAAGGTACTGCACAAAGCAGATGGCAGACTGTCTTCCTGTTGTACAGAGCTGGGGCTCCAAATTGCACTCTGGTCACCTATCAACAATCAGTCATCCAAAATGAAACCAAACTCTTTCATCTGAGCAGTAAAGCATTTTTATCTCTGGACTCTGAATAACTAACAGCTCTAATTTAGTTTAAATTTTAAATTCACAGATACATGAAATTCAAATCTGCTCTCTAGTGCTCTTAAGAATGAACAACATATATAGTAATTAATGACGGCATTCCTCTTTATTAAATAGGGTGGAGCTTTGACAATGTAATAAAATGCCAAAGAGCAACAACTTAACCAAATCTTCTTCCCATATCTTTTAACTCTATCCCCGCTTACCACTGGACACCAAATTCTGGATACTTGTCTCACAAATAAATGTTTATTAATTTTTCTTGTAAGTATGATTTTCTCTCAACCTACAGTTATCCATATATTCAAATATCTAGATTTCTTTTTTTTTTAATATTTATTTATTTATGCATATAAGAACTGGGGTATAGGCCAGAACTGTGGGGGAGGTGAGAGGATTCCCCAGAGACAGAGTGGGGAACAGAACAGGCAGATTGACCACAGTACACTGCTGAAGGGAGTAGCAGGCAAGTCAGGAGAGGTCTGCTGCGCCATGTGGGTTGCTTCCTGGCTGGCTGTGGATCGAACTCATGCTGCAGTGGCTGCGCACAGCTTCATAGGTTGCATCTTAACCCCTTGCACCACGAGGGAGGCCCAAATCTCTAGATTTCTTTCTGTATGATTACACAGCATCTGCCTCCCCCATGATCTCTTTCCAATGGGCCCTGCCATTGGATATTCCAATAACTTTACAAAACAGAAACATGATCACATTAAATCATTAGTCATTACATTGAACATTCTATCATTTGGTCATTTAATAACATCCTATGCAACCTTTGTGTCAGCCACTCTAGTAACTACTGTGTGGAATAAGGCATAAGATATATAATGCTAAAAACATAAATAATTTTTACCAGGCAACTTAGCATTCATTTCACAAATATAATTATTAGATACAAGATATAATCCTTCCATATCACTTGTGTTAGAGTTCACATTTATGATACAAAGTTATATCATATTTAATTTAGTGCTTTAAAAAACATGAAATAAATTTTAAAAGTATTTCTGTACCATAAATTATACTAGGAAAGCGAGCACTGTTCTGGAAGTATAATGACTGTCCTTAAAGACTTATTGGCAATTTTATAAACTTTTATTTGCCTAGTTTGGGCATCTTTAAATTCATTTATTAATAATAATGACATACATATAACTTATCTATGCATTTCAGTTTTTTTATTAGCTGCTTTTCTTGCCACTAACTTCTTTTCTGTGTGATTTTGTTATTTCTAGTCCTAATTAATTGTTTTTAAGCTTTGTCTAACAACCTGTAGTATGACTAAATTGTATAGGAACTGGATCATAAATCTGTGCTGCTGAATTGCATAAATTTATTCATCTTCCATAAAGAGAAATGGAAAGAAAGTGATACATAAATATTTTCTATATATTTAGTATATAGTGCTATTAGGTACCATGAAAGGTTCATCTTGGTCTATTAGTTTATTTTTATGTCAATAGCTTCACAAAATTCAATACTGTCTTCTTGCATTTTATATATTTGAGCCTGAATTTTATGCAATCACAATTTCATTGAAAATAGAAAATCAGTGGGCCTCCTCAGTGGCGCAGCAGTTGAGCACTGGGCTGCGAAGCTGCCCGCAGCCTCTGCAGTGCTGGTTAGATCCCCGGACACTGGCGAGGGTCTCACATGGCGCACAGACCTCTCCTGCCACCCGCTGCTCTCCTCAGCAGTGTACTTCGTCAGTCTGCCTGCTCTGCTCTCCCCTCTGGCTCTGGTGAATTCTCTCACCCTCCCACGCTTCTGACTGTACCCAGTGCTTGTATAAATAAATAAATAAATCTTAAAAAAAAAAAAAAGAAAATAGAAAACAAACAATACAAATTTGGTTAATAGTATGAATAATCCTTTTTCATATCTCTATATATCTTTTTAAAATATTTTTCATTTCAATCATGACTTTGTCCAAATTCCGTCAACATAAATGTTTAATATTGCTGCAGTTACCACTCTCTGAAATGAATATTATTACATGACTCCCAAATGAGATTAAGATATACTTGATAGTCTGTTCCAAACCATGCCTTTTATTAAGTCAACAATTAAATATATTAAATGATCATGAATTTTTTTTTTTTTTTGTGGGACCCTCACCGGGAACTGGACAATGAACCAGCACTGCAGAGGCTGTGGGCAGACTCACAGCCCAGCGCTCAACCTCTGCGCCACCAGGGGAGGCCCTGATTAAGAAATTTTTATATTTTGCGTTGGCTGTTGATTATTTCATTCTATTCATCCCCATAGGTTAATAAATTTTACAAGTTTACAATGTAAGAAACAAAGTATCATTTTTTCCGCCTTGACTTTGCCTATAGTTGCTTTACAAGATGTCTTTTATTTGTCATATAAAATACTATTTTAAGAATACAGTGGGTATGGAGAAAGAGAAAGGCAGGGAAGCAAAATGAATGAAGCTGGAAAGGATTATATTATGGGAAATAAACCAGATTAAAAGACAAATACTGGGGCCTCCCCAGTGGCGCAGCGGTTGAGCGCTGGTTGCGAAGCTGCCCATGGCCTCTGCAGCGCCAGTTTGATCCCCGGCTGCTCCCGGGCCACCAGAGGAGGGTCCCACATGGCGCGCAGACCTCTCCTGCTGCCCGCTGCTCCCCTCAGCAGTGTACTTCCGTCCTTCTGCCTGCTCTGCTCCCCGCTCCGTCTCTGGTGAATTTGCTCACCCTCCTTCGCTTCTGACTGTACCCAGTGCTTGTATAAATAAATAAATAAATAGATCTTAAAAAAAAAAAAAAAGTCCTCAACTCTTTAAAAAAAAAAAGACAATACTGCATGATCTCACTTATAAGTGGACTATAAAATGTAGAACCCATAGAAACAGTAGAATTTTGGGTTGCCAGGAGCTGGGAGTGTGAAAAACAGGAAGCAGTTGCTCAGAGGTATAAACTTTCAGTTATAAAATGAATTTTTTTCTGACACCATGTTCACTGCAGTTAATAACACTGTATTGTATACTTAAATCTGCAAGAGAGTAAGCCTTAAATGTTCTCACTTGATCTCACACATAAACAGTAATTGTGTGAGTTGACGCACAATAACGGTGTTGATTGTGCAAATCTTTTCACAATATACCCATATATCAAGTCACTTTATATAAAAACTGCAATGTGTCTAATCATTGAATATAAAATAAATATCACTCATAAATTAAAAAAAAAAGTACCAGTGTAGATTAGTGGTGAAATCATTCACTTAGATTTTTGTGATCCATTAACATACAATCTGTATGACAATACAGATGTCTTTGGCTCACAACCTTTTACTAAGTGTGTGTAAGGACTGAGGACTGTAATGTTATCTTTCACTGAACTTGGGTTTTGGTTATAGGAAAGGCAGAAATGTGGAAGCAGAAAACAACTCTGATATAAATACCTTAAAGTATATGTCAATTTCTGAAAAAATGTGGATTTAATTTTTATCATCTTCAGTATTTACAGAATTCCTTTTTCTTTTTATTCCATATTATGTCTTACAGAAGTGTTGATGTAGAACATTACAAAAAAGAAATATGATAGGGGGAAGAAAGTGGCATTAATACAACGAATAAGAGAGAAAAGAGAGAAACAAGCAAAGTGCCTGACA